CTATGCAAAGGAGAGAAAAAGCCTGCTTTAGTAAAAGCGGTAGTTAATAATTCATGTGGACGTTGCCACTCTGAGAGAAATCCAAAGCAGTTAACACTTTTTGCCCAGGGAACACAGCCTGGAAGGACCACAGCGCCAAGCCGTTCTGTTTTGTGTGGTCTAAATGTTCTGTCCCCTTGTTGAGGGCAGAGTAGAGCCCAAAAGGGGAAGGACAAGGACAATCCCAGGCAAATTTGTTCTAGTTCCACACACACACACACACACAGAAAGGAGGATTCCCTGTGCTTTAAACTCACAATCTTCTCCTCTTTAGCCGGAGGGCTGCGCAGGCACCAGCACAGAGGCGCGTAGGTGATGTTGATGACTCCTATGATGACCATCAGCCAAGGAAATCCGATAGCGCGGACAATCGCACCTCCTGCAGACGGACCTGCATTTTTGGGAATTAAAAACAGCTCCGATGACGGAGCGAAAGGCGCCTTTGGAGCCCGCTGTGATCCCTGGCTCAGCGCTCGTCGCTTCCCGAGGACGCGGCGTGGAGGAGAGGGAGGGAAGGAGTGAGGGACCCTGCGTGGATCGTGGTAGGGGTCAGGATCATCCGTACCGAGCGCGAAGCCGACGCAGAAGGCGACGTCGGCGATGGCGTAGACGCTGCCGTACACCGACGTGTGGCGCAGGTCCACCAGGTAGCCCATGATGGGCATCATGGAGGAGTCCACCTTTTTCGGGAGAGCTGCCGCGTGAGCCGGCGCCGCCCCCACGGGCTGCGTCCGATCCATGTTGGATCCACGCTTGATCCGCGTCGGATCCGCGCTCAATATGCGTCCAATCCGCGCTCGACCCGCGCTCTGCCACTCACCTATGGCGAAGCCGAGCCCGCCATTGGGGGCAATCAGCCCGTAGATGGTCGTGGCCAGAGGCACCTTTGGGAGGAGAGAGGGCAGGTGGGGATGAGGGCGGAAGCCCTGGGTTTCAGCAAGGCCTGTGAGCGCCACACGGACCCGGGAGGCACGGAGCAGCCCTGGGCATCGGCTTGGGATCAACCTCGCGGCGCCGTTAGGAGCTGCAAGGGGAAGGTTTCCCTGCTCCTAGCTGCTGCCTTCCCGCGTGAGGGCGTGAGGCGCTGTGAGGGATCTAGGGAGGCACCGCGGAGCATTTCGTTTAGCTGAATGTGTTAACCATAAAACCCGTATCCTGTGCCAGGTGCCAGGGAGCAGGAAAAGGGAACCCCCAAGCACCCCAACTGCTGTAAACACAGGACGTTCATAAACGCTTCGTAAACTGTCCTGTCCACCCGCCGGCCCCTGCCCTCCTGGTGTCCTCACGACTTACGCAGAGCAGGCTGATTCCCACCAGCACCATCCCGACAAGGGCGCAGAGCCACCTGCGGAGCCAGCACAGGGCGGTCAGCACAGCAGGCACAGGGGACCGCGCGGAAACACGCGGCTGGCCCGCGGCTTTCCCCTTACCGCCCCATCCTGTGCGCCAGGGCCCCAAAGAGGTTGGTGCCGATGAGGTAGGATACGCTGGCAGGAAGGAACGCCATCCCTGAGGCGGGAGAAAGCAGTGCACAGTCCCTCCACACTGATGCACACTCCGTATTTCCTCAAGCAGATACAGGAGATCATCAAGAATGAGGTGGGACAAGCAGCAACTAAAGGCAGAACTTTTTGTTCCCGCTGCTTTGATCAGCTCGTCCTTCTCTTGTGGCAGATTCTTCCCCTTCCACCTTTCTCCCCTTGCCTTCATCTTTGCTCACAGAATTGAGGGATAACATTGATGCTGAAATAAAACGCTTAGGGATCCTCATGTAGTCAAAATTAAATATTTGAACTGCCTGCTAATTTACCAGTTGTTTATTTTTAATATGCTCTCCCAGAGACTATAAATAAAGCTGATTAGCTCTGTTTCACTAAGGCAACTTCCTTATTGAACCACGCTAATTTATGTTTAGTTTTCTTTCCTCTCTTTAACAGCTACAAAACACAGTTAATCTTGAGGGTTTAGTCCGAGCTCTTTTGGTTTCTTCCAGAGTTATGGCAGCAGGCAAACCGAAGCATGGAAATAAAGAAGCCCCTTGAGCTTATAATTGTTCTTTAGGTTGGTGACTTTTGCTTGAGTTTTATAAATCCAAGCTATTCCCAAATCAGAGCTACCTAATGAGCAAATTTATCTGTTTTTTCCCGTATCTAAACGGCAGCTCCTGCCTGCCTGAGCAGTAACTCCATTAGTTGCCTTCTCAGCCTTGCTGCTCCCTGCCTGCAATTCAATTTGGGGACTAAGTGTGGCCCAGGGCATCCCCCAGGCCATTCCTCAGCCAATTGGATTTTAGAGCAATTAGTTTGATTATCCCTGCAAACGCAACGCAATCTCCACAGCGCATTTCCCAGGCAGCTGGCGATCAGCGTGTGCCGTCCTGCCCTCCGCGGGACTCTCCGAATGGCCTCCTTTTCCTGCGAGCTGCCCCTGCAGAATCCGTGCACGGCTCCTCCCCGGCACAGCACGCCTATCTGCCCTGCAGGGCACGGGGTCCAACAGGCCCGGCGTGGAGCAGACTTTCCTCCTCCGTTATTGCTGTCGTGGGGAGGCAGATCCTACGCAATTTTCGCAATAACGGAGGGAAAGCACATTGCATAGCACCTGCTGAGGACATTTCCGCTGGAATTGGCGCAATATGCAGCCTGGGAGCGCATATATTTCCTTTTAGAAACAGAGCAAACGGGCCTGGGGAGATCATTTAATGCCCCTGGCGCTGCCAAAGCAGGACGTGGACAGAGCCGGGCGCTGCTGGACGCGGCGCGGCGCGCGGCGCGGGGCACGTACCGAGCTGCCACCTCGGGGAGCACATGCTCTGCATCATCCAGATGGGCAGCGTGGGCTCCAGCATGGCCACCCCTGCGTTGGCGAAGCACAGGGCTCCTGGCGGGAGCACATGGAGAAGTGTCACCCCTTCCTCCCCGCGCGGCGGATGCCACGAGCGGGTGTCCCCACGCGGCGACGCCGGGAGGAGCGGGCGCGGACGCCCCACGTACCTGCGGCCACCAGGATGTAGGGGTCCCGCAGCAGGGTGAGCAGCGGGGTGCCCCTGCTGCTCTGTGGGACAAGGGCACGTTGACAAGGGCACTTGTCCTCCCTCTGCACAGGGAGTCCAGGCCTGCTCCGTTCGCAGGATCGCCTGGATTCGAACTCACCTCGGGGGAGACCCGGGAGGGCTGCAGTATGCACAACTGTAAAGCTACGGGGAAAAAACCACTGTTATTTACTTATTCCTTAAGGCGGCAGCGCTTGGATCCACGTTTCCCTTCAGAAGGACCCCATTCCCCGACGGAGCCCCCAGGGATGCAGTAACTGCCTCTGGGACATCATCCCAACGGGCAGGGAGGGAGCCGGGTCCCTGCGCTGCTTCCACGGAGGTTTGCAGAAAATTCAAGTTGACTTCAGTGGAAGCAGGAGCCGGCGACTGTGCAGGAGGCGCTTCGGCAAGGCAGGAGGTGGCCAAGAGGCAAACGTTGCTGCTGGTGCCTGCCAGGGAGCCACGGCCAGAGCAGGACGGGAATTACATGTGGGAAACAATGCGGGGGAATCTGCGCTGCCCTTTCCAAAGGCTCTTACCTGCTTCACTAAAGATGTCGTACACTGCGTCCAGGCAAAGATACTAACTTGGACTATAGTTCAATTAGCTTAATAATTCCCTCTAAAAATACACATTCCCGCTATCTGTAAAGTTGGTACTACATGCTGAAAGCCGTCATGACCTGTGTTTGTAAAACAGCAATCTAGGAGTGAACAAAACCCACCATTTACCCCGGCAAAGCCCAATTCATACGTGGCTACGGCAAAGAGATTACACCCTGTGAGAAGGGTGCTTTTGTGCAGAATATGCAGTTCAAAGAGCTTTACTGCACATGCTATTCAGCCTTACTTAAAGCAATCAAGTCATTTATTAAGTAATGAGGGACTTATTCCCAGTATGTTGCTGTGTCATGCCTCTGGTGATGGAAAAAATGTAATTTAGCAATAACAGTTGGAATAACTGATAATGATGGTATCACCCGTTTCGCATTAATCTGCCTCTTCCTTCACACAAGCCCTGCCCCTCGGACAGACATATTTAATCTTTTCATGGGCATTTTTTTTTCAGGTGGATTAGAGCATTTGGCTTCTCACCTCCGTCCAGCAGGGCTAAGAATGCCAGGATCAGAAAGGGGGACGATTTCCCGACGAATTCGTACATGACGCTGCCGAAGGGGGCCCCGACTGCAAGGGAGAGAAGAGCTTTGTCACAGGGCAGCGGTGCTGGGCACTGCCGCCAGCACCCACAGGCATCGATATCCTGGGTTTTATGAACCCCCCGATTGCACAAAACGCTGAATCACGTTCAGGCCGGGACAGTCCCAGGAGAAGGTGCCGGGAGCAGCGGGATGAGGCTGTGGAGCGCGAGCTGAGCGTACGGAAAGCAGCGGGTCATGGCCAGCCAGGAGCTGGAGATGCTCCTGCTGTAAATGCCCTGGTGAAACACATCTACTCACTGAGCACGCCCAAGGCCAGGCCTCCCAGGGCGATCCCCATGGCG